GTATTAAAATTGATGAATTGTTTGATCCTGGATAATGTTCCTGTTTTTAAGGATGTGTAAGAAATTTGACATTGCTGTTTCTACACACTTGACCATCCAATTTTATCTCTTCCAATGGGAGTTATGTTGTTTATCTGAAGATTCACTAACAAATCCCATTCCATTTATATCTTTACTAACAAACACCACACAATTAATAACTTTACTAAGAAAGACCATGACATTTATATATACAAATAACTTAATTGGAATGACAGGTAGACTTGTGAATGGTCTAATGGGGACCGATGATGGGCTTGAAGGTGTCAGGGAACCAAGGGAGTGAGTCTCAAGCTGGGATCCTCACCATCTCCCAACAGGGAACTTCATGCAGCGATTGACTAGGTGGCAGTGGGCTCTTTGGATGTACTGGCTGTGGATGTTGCTGACCAGTGTTCAAGGATATGGTTAAAAGGGTGGATATGGCTCAGATGCGGAAAGACTAGAGTGACTGGAATATACTGCCCTACAAAGGCAAAAGACCTTAACTCACCAGAGTGTAGAACTGAGAAAAATGTATTTAAAGTTGTTTTGTTGTCCAGTCAAATGAATTGTAGGTAGAATATTGTAAATGTTTTTTTAATTAGTAGTTATTTGGTTACATAAAAATGTTGATCTCAAACATGACCTTTGACCCTTATTTGGAAGTTAATACACTCTTTCTTGGCATTGTCTGCAAAATAATAAGAGGTCATGCCAAGGCAAAAGGCATCAACTTCTTACTAACTAATTTGATAGCTCACTTGGTAGCTGATCCCTATAAAAAAAATCAGTTTGATGATAACATCTACATAAAATCTACTAATCTTGGTACAATTAGGGTTAATAGAATATAAACTTAATACTATGTAAATGCTAATTAATAAATAATTAATTATGTGCAGGCCTATTTGAAGGTCATTACTTATTTTATAATCCCATTTTTGTATTGATTTGAAACAAAAAAAAAGTTCAATTTATATTATTTAATGCAAAATGAGTTGACAAGAACAAATGCAAAATGCAGATTTTCTGCTCAAATTCTCTGGGTGAATGCCATAGTAGGATACTCAAGAACAACTCAAGTTATGGATTTAACCTGTTGAACACCAGCGAGTATCTAATGCTCAAAACTCATGTTGTGGATTTAACTTCTCAGAAGATGTTGTTTGTAAGTTGTTTTTTTTATGAGGTAACAAGAAGACTATTTATTTAGTTGTGAGTTGTCACTACTGAACTTGTGTGTGTGTGATTAGGCTACTTAGGAGCTGCTTGTTTGTTTACTCTGTTGTCAGTGTCACCGACTAGGCTGCATTAAAAAAAAAGCATTCATTGCGAATCTGTTATGATTACTTATAGCTGGAAAGCTATCTAGGAATTGTTTGTTTCCAATGCTTTGTTTGCACAGGTGTCATTTACACTGGGGACGCTGGGGACATGTCCTCAAAACTTTTTGAAATGGCTGATTTTGTCCCCCCCACTGTTTAAAAGCATAATTTGTTAAAAAAGTTCTGAACGTACTTATTATAAAATGACCCCAAAACGTACAGCACCAGTCAGTAACTATAATAACTTCTTGACACAGTTTCTTTTTGGCCAGGTTTTCCGTTCTCTCCCTGTGAACATGACAAAAGAGGAGGGAAGACTAAATCACGCCTACATGTGTGTTGCCTCAGCAGGGATGATATTACAGGAGAAAAGTTGATCTCAACCCCCAAATCTCAGCCCCTATATCCCCACAACTTTTCAACATAAAGTGACGTCCTTGTTTGTTTGCATTCTGATCACATATGGGAGCAGTTTGTTTGCTCCTAGCTTGCGCTAGTTAGATAACAAGTAATTTTAATAGATAGCACAGCCTATCTATGTGTATCTTTCTTGTAGCATAATCGTTTTTACATTGATGTTGTTGTCTGCATGTCAAAGCCATCTCAACCAACATTTTCCCTCGAGAGCAATGGGCCATTCTTAAAAGCTAAATGTAACATTAGTAAAAACAATCACTTTGCTTTATACTTTAGTCAAGCTGTGTTTGTGTTAAAAATGCTTCAATGACATGTATTTATTATACACGGGCATAAACCCACAACTCCAGCATGATAAACTGTAAGTTAACTTCACTTTGAATCAAAACAAAGGCAAAGTACCTTAACAGTAGACCATTCCAGAGTGCATCAAAACAAAGGCAAAGATCAGAATACCCTAACTGATGTTACGGTACTCTGGTCTTTTGAAAGTTACGGCAAAAACAAACCACTATTTTCTCCAATAAATAACAAATTTGACTCAAGATATTTGTTCACATCATTTTCAACCAAATCAAAGTTAAGGTCTTTTGCCTTTGCACAGCAGTATATAGGTAAAATACCTGTCCTGGACAAAATTTGCAGAAGATGGTGGTGAAACCAGAAGGCTGTTTTCAAATCTGCCTGACTCTGTGGTGAAATGTGGGTCCTGTGGAAAAGCGTGGTGAATTATTCTACAGTTTATGGACTGAACAGGTTTGGAAGGACTCAAATACGAACTTAAGTGGAAGAAAAATATTGGATGAGAGAGGCCAAGCTGGTCAGTCCTGCTTCGTTTGAGATTGAAGAGTGTCTCGAGCTGAGCTGATAGAAGGGGATAGGTCTAAGGGTTTGGCTGCATCAGGTGAGGAGGTTAGCTGTCAGGGGCTGATTTAGAGAATTGAATGTGATAGGTAATAATGCTGGTACAGGTATGATGTAAAGGTAGAGAAATGGTAGGCTATACAAGGTGTGAAAAGCTTTGAATCAGCTCCATCTTGAGTACATGAGTTTAGTTGAAGATGGTGGCTGAAAATAGTGGGACCATTGTTGGATATGAATCTGGATCTGGCGCCAAGGATTTAATAATAATAATAATAAATTTTATTTATAATGCACTTTACATTTCAGGGAAATCTCAAAGTGCTAGTTTGTTAGTATTTGAATTTCTGAAAGGAAAAACATGACAGGGCAACAAGTCTTCCAACCTAAACGACAACATAGGTCGTTTTAACCAACCTCCAAATACAACTCATATGAGTGTATCCTAAAAAATCTCAAAATTTAAAAATACATGATTAGACAAAACCAGCATTAATAATGTATTTTTGACAGTTTTTTATGAACATTTCTTTATTACTACTAGTTTCGTCTGGTGAGGATCACTGTTGAATGCAAAATACAGACTGAATCAGATTAACTTCTTGGAAACAGACACCTATTTCCATGGAAAAAGCCTAAAATAACATACCCAAAATGAATCAGTAATAACTTCTCAATGATTAGGCATAGATGCATAATTCTAGTCTCTTTTGATAGGTCAGAAGCTTAAAGAGGTGGTATTATGGTTTTTGCCTTTTTCCTTCTCCTTTATTGAGTTATGTATCTTTTTTGTGCATGTACTAGGTTTGCAAAGTGAAAAAGCCACCCCAAAGGGAGTTCCCATCTCCCACAGAAAACACTGCTCTGAACTGCCTGAAAACAGCTCGTTTGTAGTGCAGCCTTTACTTCCCTTTCTTTTGATGTCACAAAATACATGTCATAATGCTCGCTGAGCGTCTAGACCGACGCCCTCAAAAACACCGGTGAGCTGCAGCACACTTCTCCTCTCCCTTCCAAACACTAGCTACCCTACAAGCAGTCAATGGACATGAAGTTGTTACTGTGATGTAAAGACGGAGCTCAGTAAAAACTTTATCGATGAAAGATACTTTTGTTACAGATTAATAACTCACCACTCTGAAACCCTTGCTCCAGTCCAAATTGCCAATCTGTGGCCTGTACTACGAAGCGGGGTAACTAGCTTATCCAGGTAACTTCAGGAGTAACTTCGTGACGTCAGGTGTAACTTCCCGGTTAACCCGTACTGCGAAAGGTACCTGAGGTCTGTTGCCATGGCAATTTACGCTGCATCTCTAAACTGTTCCGAGCAGGTTTTTGTTTGTGGTTAACTCGAGGTTACCCTGCACGTGGACTACACACCACATCTGTACTCAGTGTTAATGATGAGAAGTAGGATATTAATACACACCACTTCATAAAATATGTTTAGATTTCATCCTGATTTGTTCCACTGCGGTTGCAATGAAGTTCTGAACACAACAGCATTACATTCAGACAGCGAGCCCTGCAGCCTAGTGATTTTAGAGAGGAAATCTTAATTAATAGTTTCTTAGATGTAGCCCATCTGTAGTCTATAATTGAATTCTCCTAAGTGTTTTCGCATATTTAGATAGATTATTTTACGTGTGGAGCCAGGGTGAGGGGTAATAACCGAGAAAAAAAAATCGTAGATTAAAGTAGGAAATTTACAAGAAGAAACCTAACTAACCAATCTTATCCAATCTTATCCACCTTCGTAGTACCGTTTAACTCTAGTGTAGGCAGAGTTTCTCAACCCTGAGTTTGCCTGATAACCCAGAGTTAACTCTGAGTAGGTTCAGTTCCCTTCGTAGTACATGCCAAAGGTCGGCAACATGTAGCCTACAGCTGAATCGAAGCTGTTTAGTGTCTTTTTGCCTACCCGCCTTTCTCTGCTTCTGATTGGCTATTACCGGCCTTTCGCTGACCTGCCCTTCTCTGCTTCTGATTGGCTAGTAGTCCTTAACTAGGAACTGCACATGTGCAACTCCCAACAAAGATCATTTAGAGACAAGATCAATTCCATAACTGAAACGAAGCCTTCAACACACAGGGTGAAAAGAGGAGCTGCAGCAATGTGCAGTATATAAAAAATGGTGTTTTTTGAAAATTAAACGATGTAAAACCTGTTCTGGTACAACCCCTAAATAGGATTTTGAACCTGAAAATGAGCATAATACCAACTCTTTAAGGAATATGAATCATCTGTAAATGAACCTATTTATTTTTCTATGTAGTAGCCTAAGTAAATTTATTTATTTTTAATATTTCTTTATTGCTTCAAGTTTCATTTGTTGAATGCAAAATACAGACTGAATCAGATTCATTGATTGACTTCTAATGTTTTGATTTTGTAGTCCCTCGACCCCTGACAGCTTTCTTTGTGTTCCTCTCTGGTCTCAGCAGGATTATGTAACATTTGGGTCCAAACAGTGCCACCAAGAGACCAAAACTGGAGGCCAGGATGGCAAATACCTCCACAGCATCTGCATATTTGCCTGGTGAGCTGATGTATGCAGGGACAAAGGCCACCCACACAGCACAGAAGATCAGCATGCTGAAAGTGATGTGTTTGGCCTCATTGAAACTATCTGGAAGATTCCTTGCTATAAATGCAATCAGAAAACTGAGGGTAGCCAGTAAGCCGATATAACCCAATAACACTGCAAAACCAACTGTGGACCCGACTACGCACTCATAAATGATCTTATCATTGTGGTATTGAGTGTTTTTATGGGGAGCTGGCGAGGAAGATACAATCCAGGCAGTGCAGATTGCTGCCTGAATGGAAGTAAGAACAATAACTGTCCCTCTCTGCTGCACAGCACCAAACCACTTCAAACTGGCTCCACCTCCTGGCTTGGAGGCCTTGAACACAGCCAGAACCACCATGGTTTTCACCAGGATGCATGAAACACAAAGCACAAAGCTGATCCCAAATGCTGCGTGTCTCAGTTGGCATGTCCACAGCCTGGGACGTCCAATAAACAGCAGTGAGCAAAGGAAACATAGTTTAAGTGACCCCAAGAGCACAAAACTCAGTTCCGAATTGTTGGCGCGTACTATGGGTGTGCTGCGATAATAGATAAAGATCCCTAGTACAACATCACAGATAAATGTGCCTAGTAATGATGTGGATGTCAAGCAAATGCCAAGAGGTTCATGGTAGGAGAGGAACTCTGTTTTCTTCAGAACACAGAGGTCAAGCTGGGGGCTGGACCAGAAGTCCTCAGGACAACTGATGCACTCAGTGGAGTCTGAGAAAAAGGAGAATGTCTTGAGACACATCTTTATATCATATCTCCAAACAGCAATGTGTTGAAGTGAATACTAACCAGTCTTATTGCTGATCTTTCCCTCAGAACAAGGGATGCAGTCAAAACAGCACACAGGTTCCCCTTTCTTTCTGGCCATGCGGGTACCTGGAGGACAGCTCTCACTGCACACTGACCGCGGTGGCTATAGGGAGAAAAATAAATAGCTGTTATTCAGTACTATTTACACTACACTTCATGAGTTATACAATGGGCAAAAAGTGTCAGAAGCAACCTTTTTTGATTCAAAGTTCCAGAAGATTTTGTCTTCATCAATTGTGAGTTCTTCACCTTTAAAGGCTGACCTCTTCATTTCACCCACTTTCTGAAGTGTAGTTCTTCCATCAGGGAGCCACAGCCAGTTCATGATATCATAGATTGGTAAGGCATCACCATTCTCATCAAACAACACGTGATCACCAAATGGTGTGGTGAAGTTGACCTTTTCCAAGTAATATACAAGCTACAAATATCAGAATAAGGAAAACCCAAGAGGACAGATGAAAATGAATTCCTCTGATTACAACAACAATTTCAACAAAGCATTTAATCTGAAGTAAAGTCATATCTGTGTCAAGATAATGTGGTCTCTGGCCTGAAAATAATATACACTGCTAGGAAAACCAAAGAGGATGGATAAAAAATAATCCTATATAACTATAGTGAACACAGCAGTGCCTAGTGTTAAATAATCACACTGCATACTGCAATTCTGAATATATGAAGACATCTCCATATACGTAGTGGCAAGATGTTGTGGTCTCTGACTTGATAATAATTTCCACTGCTATCACCCAGCAGTAGGGAAAATCATAAAAGCTATCTGTTTGGCTCTTTAAGATGGGTAATCTCATAGTTTTGTATTAAATCCTATAGCCTAAATGCTAGTCAGTGAGAAATAACAAAGCACAGGCGTAAGTATAGACTGATGTCACACCTGCCATGGTTCTAGCCTTTGCAAATTTCCACAGCTGTGCCCGGTGAAAGGCCCTCTCCCTGGTTCGCACTGCAGCATTTCATCAAGGGCATAAGCCAGTGCATACACAGCCTTGTACACATTATACTCTGGCCTGAGGTTTGAAATGTCCAAGAACTCAGTCTCCACATTCTCTAGATCTTCCTGTCCAGTGCATAATGCTCCTCCAGCTTCCACCCAACCGGCTGGAGGTGGTGCAAATCTGCACTGAAATGTGTATTCCCAAAACTGCCTCACCTAAAATGCATTAAAAAACAGAAATAATCACAATATATTGCTGTTGCAATTTTTCTTAGATTGCAAGGTTAATACTACTCACCATGTTATTTCCATAGTCATTGTTGTGTTGTTTGTCTGGGCGTATTTGTAAGAGGAATTCCCTGAGACCTGCTATTTCTCCTTGACTAATGGCGATGCCCATTGTGCCACCCAGGTAAGGCATGAGGTCAGGGGTCTGGAGCACAGTCGCTGCTGTCCAGGCTTCACTGGCCATCCACTGCAGACCTGTCACATTCTGTCGCACCACCTGTGCATGATACCAAATATGTAAATTTATACTGCCATGCCACTAACATACTCTGTAGTCTGCTGAATTACACTCACTTTACAAAGTTTATCGCTTTTCTTAGTCATTCATATACAAATGCAATCCTGTGTTTACATAGTATTATGAGCAAAGTGATGCTGCATATTGTGCATTTTGTCATAACTGGAGTTCAGTGTAATTTGAGCAAGTGATCTCACAATCAAGCCCCGCTAACAGCACCACTAACAAATAAGCGGTAGGATGTATTCAATTAAATTTATTTGTTACAAACTAATGTGTTATTCTAGCATAAATATTTTAGTTTGACAAATAAAGCATTGTATGGTTAGTTCTATTTCAAGCCCAACCTCTTCCATGAGGTTAATCATATGACTCTCATGTGCAAACACAATGACAACATGAGCTGTAGATTTCTTCATCACATGCACAATCCTCCTCAATTCAGCTGGGTCATTGCCCCAGGGCAAAACCTCTAAGTAGGCCAGGCAACCTCTACCAGACTGAACAAAGTCAGATTGGAAGGATTGGGCAGCATAGAGTCCATAATCATCATCACTGACCAGCAGACCTGCCCAAGTCCAGCCAAAGTGGGTTAGAATCTGAATCATAGCACGCACCTAAGTGAATACAGAGTGGGGGGATTAGTGCACAGGCTGAAATAATCTGTCAGTGGAGACCCTGCTAAACATGTTTCACAACAGACCATGTTTATTATTGCCTCTCAGCTTTGATATCTGACAACAATCAACTCTATCAATGACACAAAATGTGACTGGTATTACACAAAAGGGATGGAGCGACACATGAGGGCTATGTTCAGGCAGTCAGCTCGAGCTGCACTGCTATATATACACACAGCACTGTAAATATCGTTATATGCTCCAGCTAAGATATTTGCTCATCACTCCCTAATATCTGTATGTAATCTGCTAAGAGTAATGAGGTTGGAGCCTGGATGCCAAACTCTCACTATCATTTCAAATGCGAGTTCTCTCACTGAAATACATATTTTATTGCGGTACAGGGATGTTCTTTCTGATAAATGTTTAACTGCAAAGGCGTTCTTTAATGGATTTTCATTTTGCTGATTGTCACCTGAAAAGCATCACTTGGGATGGTCCGAAAGAAGGATGGAAACTTTTTCCTGTCACTTAGGCAGGAACATGTGGCAAAGTAACTCACCTGTGAAAGACACAGAGTGTACTTCCTAAAAACATTCTTTTTTCTTAAGGTTGATTTTTAAAGTTGGTTACATTCACATTAAAATTGAAATTAAATCAAAATGATATGAATTAATTATTAAATGTTATGGTGCAAAACTTACCATAGGTACTCTGTACAAACCTAAGACACTGGAGATGGCAATAGAACGGGTAGAGGAAGAATCACCCACAATCCCTAGGACTGGAGGGGTTCCTACACATGTCTCATCTAATATAAACTGCTCCTCTTGACCACTGACTAAGGACAAGGCTGCACGGTAACCAATTCCTAGTTTGACGCAGTTATCATAAAGACTGTATCCCAGAGTCACGTTAGGTAGCAGGTTGGAGTTTCTGTTGATCTCATCAATAGCAAAGGCCATGGTCTGAGCCTGCCTGAATCCTAGGACATCAAAACTGAAACATAAAATACCACTGTTTATTATTGAACCATCCAACATGATACTGTAACGGTGCAAACATGTACATGTTGCACAACTTCATATTTTGCAAACAATGAAGCCAGTTAAATAGCAACAATTAAAATAATAAAATAAAACTGTGCAACAAAGTAAAATGTTTAAAATAGCATAACTACACAATGTAATTCTTCCAGAGTAACATCTGATTATGAAAAATACATTATGCTAATTGGAGTGATTTTCCTTAGGTTCTGCTTTTTGCTGTTTCCCTGACAGACTCACCCGTGGCAGGTAGGCTGTTGTGGCTCTGAGGTAAAAGACAGGTCAGGAAAAATAGAAAAGAAGTGGATCTCAAACAGCCCACCTAGAACCACATCTCCAGCCTTGTGCATCCCATTTAGATGAAACTGTCCCTGTATCTGGCAGGTGGAGGAATAAAAGAGGGAGGACACAGCAGAAGAAAAGTAGGAACACAACAACATGAAATACATCAGCGAGAACAAGTTGAAAAATGGCCACATGATTTCTCTCCTGTTTGAACCCGTCATGAAGTTTTATTGGTACGTCAAGTTCTTTTATTGACTCTCAGTATCGTTAATCTTGCACACCACACCACATCAAGGCATAAGCAAAAGTAGGGCAGGGCCTAAAATTCATTTCCTTTGAGATTTATTTTGTATTGAGCCATTAATTTGTGCACTTTTATATGTACGTCTACACCTTCCTGTAAAACATCTACTTCCCTTGTTGTAACATTTTACCGAATCGCTCTGCAGTTTAAAACCTGAACAGATACACATTTTTGTACTGAGTATTATACCAAATCTGTGTGTGTGACAAGCATCACAAATAAAACTCACTAAATAAACAAATCAGCCAGTATGTGGAATGTGCTAAACAAATTACAAGTTTAATCAAATGTCCACTAGATGACAGCAGTATACTATAATGAAACGTACAATCGTCATGCAGGCTTTAGAAATATAACTTTGAATACAAATATACAAACATGTCTTGTATTTATTTCTGTATAATGTCTGGCATTTGCATAGTCATGGTTTATAGAAGAAGCTTTGTGTTAAAAACTCTTCTTTTAACTGTCTTCTGTTTTGACATCAGGGCAGGACAGCATACTGTATATTAAATGGTGGTGGTATTAAAATTGATGAATTGTTTGATCCTGGATAATGTTTCTGTTTTTAAGGATGTGTAAGAAATTTGACATTGTTGTTTCTACACACTTGACCATCCAATTTTATCTCTTATTTTATCTGTTATGGTGTTTATCTGTAGATTCACTAACAAATCCCATACCATTTATATTTTTACCTACAAACACCACACAATTAATAACTTTACTAAGAAAGACCATAACATTTATATACAAATTACTTAATTCAAATGACAGTTAGACTGGTGAAGGGGTAAATGGGGTTGAGTACAAGGGGATGAAAGAGGGGTCTAATGGGGACCGATTATGGGCCTGAAGGCGTCAGGGAACCAAGGGATTGAGACTCAAGCTGGGATCCTCGCCATCCCCCAAAAGGAAACTTCATGTAGCGATTGACTAGGTGGGAGTTGGCTCTTTGGATGTGGTTGCTGTGGATGTAGCTGTAGTAAGCTTGTGATGACCAATGTCCAAGGATTTTGATGGTTTGGTTAAAAGGGTGGATACGGCTCTGATGTGGAAAGACTGTAATAGTTTTGGTAAAATACCTGTCCGGGACCAAATTTGTGCAGACGGTGGTGGAACCAGAAGGCTGTTTTCAAGTCTGCCCGACTTTGTGGAAAAGTGTCATGAATTATTCTACAGTTTATGGACCTGTGGATAGGTTTGGAAGGACTCAAATATGAATTTAGGTGGACGTAAAATATTGGATGAGAGAGGCCAAGCTGGTCAGTCCTGCTTCGTTTGAGATTGAAGAGTGTCTGGAGTTGAGACTGATGGAAGAGGATAGGTCTACCACAAGAAGGGTTTGACTGCATCAGGTGAGGAGGTTAGCTGTCAGAGGTAAGTGTTTCCAGTAGGTACAAATTCTTTTGATTAGCATACTGATTGACAAATGGAAGATGGGGGAATTGTGGTCAACAGTTCGACAAGAAAGTTAATACTGCTGATGTAAACTTGGATGGTAAACTTTCTTATTTAGAGAATTGAATGTGATAGGTAATAATGCTGGTACAGGTATGATGTAAAGGTAGGGAAATGGTAGGCTATACAAGGTGTGAAAAGCTTTGAATCAGCTCCATCCTGAGTACATGAGTTTAGTTGAAGATGGTGGCTGAAAATAGTGGGGACTGTGTTGAATATGAATCTCGATCTGGCGCCAAGGATTTGAATTTCTGAAAGGAAAAACATGACAGGGCAACAAGTCTTCCAACCTAAACGACAACATAGGTTGTTTTAACCAACCTCCAAATACAACTCATATGAGCATATCCTAAAAAATCTCAAAATGTAAAAATAAATGATCAGACAAAACAAGCATTAGTAATATATTTTTGACAAACTTTTATGAACATTATTGTTTCAAGTTTTGTCTGGTGATGATCACTGTACAAAATACAGACTGAATAAGATTAACCTCTTAGAAACAGACACCTATTTCCAGGAAAAACACCTAAAATAACATACCCAAAATGAATAAGTAATAACTCTGCAATGATTAGGCATAGATGTATAATTCTGGTCTCCTTTGATAGGTCAGCAGCTAAGGAATATGAATCAACTGAAAATGAACCTATTTTTCTATTAAAGACTAAATAGAGATGCAATAAAGGAAAATATGATATTTTCATCCTCGCCTGGTATCTATATTTTAGCAGCAATAGCTCCATCAAAACCATCATCCAACTGATTCTAATGCAACTGAATATCATTTAATACACCTGGAATACAGCTGAAACTGCAAATTTGATGACAAGAAACTAATATACAACAGTTATTACATAATTTTTCAAAATGTTTTGGCCATATTTACTGTTTACTTTTATTGGGAGTTCTCTTCAAAACACTATTTCTGTCCATACTACCACATTCCAAATAACATAAAGCTTCCAAAACATTGAAATATTGATAAAAACAGTGATTATTGGTCAATATTCCTATCACCAAAAGCACTCCTGTGCTTTAAAAGCCCTCAACTTCAGAACAGAGTGGGCTCTTTCTCTTCGTATTAATCAGACGAATCGTTTGATGTATTTGATGTTTGTAGCTCCTATGGGTCAGCCAGTGGACGGAGATTTGAGTGATACAAGTTACACAGCTGATCAGAGATGGAGCTGAGCTTTCTTTAGAGTGGTCGGACTGTGGATGTGATTATATGAGGGATGTCTGGATGGCAATAACTGCAGCCATGTACAGTGATTTCAGAGCAATTTATGTTGTGAAGTTAATTTATATGCTTGGTGTTGAATGTGTGTTTGGAATGGATAAAAATGGTTGGTTTGACGTTCTGGCTGAGCCTCCTAGCTTCACCGAAGTGTGTGGCATGCATAGACTGACAAAATACTAGGATCAGACATGGATTTCTCATTTGCATTTTGTGTGAAAATGTATTGTCCATGCTTAACAGTTAATTGATAAACTGACCTCTAAAGTAAATTCTAATTTTATGATTTTGTAGTCCCTCGACCCATGATAGCTTTCCTTGTGTTCCTGTCTGGTCTCAGCAGGATTATGTAACATTTGGGTCCAAACAGTGCCACCAAGAGGCCGAAACTGGAGGCCAGGATAGCAAATACCTCCACTGCATCTGCATATTTGCCTGGAGAGTTGACATAAGCAGGGACAAAGGCCACCCACACAGCACAGAAGATCAGCATGCTGAAAGTGATGAGTTTGGCCTCATTGAAGTTGTCTGGAAGATTCCTTGCCAGAAATGCCAACAGGAAGCTAAGGATAGCCAGTAAGCCAATGTAACCCAGTAACACTGCAAAACCAACTGTAGACCCTACAGCACACTCATAAACTATCTTGTCATTGTGGTATTGAGTGTTTTTATGAGGCTCTGGTGAGGCAGAGACAATCCAAGCAGTGCAGATTGCCGCCTGAATGCAAGTAAGAACAAAAACTGTCCCTCTCTGCTGCACAGCACCAAACCATTTGAGATTGCTTCCACCTCCTGGCTTGGAGGCCTTGAACACAGCCAGAACCACCATGGTTTTCACCAGAATGCATGAGACACAAAGCACAAAGCTGATCCCAAATGCTACATGTCTCAGCTGGCATGTCCACACACTGGGACGTCCAATAAACAGCAGTGAGCAAAGGAAACATAGTTTAAGTGACACCAAGAGCAGGAAACTCAGTTCTGAATTGTTAGTGCGCACCATTGGTGTACGGCGATGATAAGTGAAGATGCCCAGGACAACAACACAGATAAATGTGCCCAGCAAAGAGGTGGATGTCAAGCAGATACCCAGAGGCTCATGGTAGGAGAGGAACTCTGTTTTCTTCGGAACACACTGGTCACGCTGGGGGCTTGACCAGAAATCCTCAGGACAAATGATGCACTCCGTGGAGTCTGACAAAAAAGGGACGATTGTGAGATAAATCTTTACAGTACATAATATCCATAAAGTAAATTAAAAATATTGAAAAATGAACATCCACCAGTCTTATTGCTGATCTTTCCCTCAGAACAAGGGATGCAGTCGAAACAGCACACAGGTTCGCCTTTCTTTGTGGCCATGCGAGTACCTGGAGGACAGCTCTCGCTGCACACTGAATGAGGTGGCTAAAGGGAGAAAAATAAATCTGTCACTCTTTAATATAATACACTGCTAAGATCAACAGTCCAAAAAGGCAACAAAAATACAGTCTGAAAATGCAGAAATTACCTCTTTCGACAGAAAGTTCCAGATGATTTTGTCTTCATCAATTGTGAGTTCTTCCCCTTTGAAGGCCGACCGCTTAACCACACCCACATTCTGAAGTTTAGTTCTTCCATCAGGGAGCCAGAGCCAGTTCATGATATCATAGATTGGTAAGGCATCACCATTCTCATCAAATGACACTTGATCACCAAATGGTGTGGTGAAGTTGACCTTTTGCAAATAATGTACAAGCTGCAAATGTATGATAGAAACAATAAATTAAAGAAAACAGAAACAGACTCCATCCAAACAGAATTATTTTCTATTTTTCAAATGATTTACAATAGAATTGTGACATTTTATCTTTCTATGCAATTTATTTTATAGCATTAATCAGTCATCCCTGTTCCAAAACAAAATGGGAATGTGTTTTATCTTGCTACTTCTAGTATTAAATATTTTACTTTTGAAAGATAATAATTGAATTGTACCTTTTTTCATAAACTTTTATACTCAAAATTAAATTCAGTAAGTACCTCAAGGTGTAGCACCGGTTTAAAAACAAAAACAATTAGAGTGTAAACTGATATCACACCTGCCATGGCTCCAGGCGTTGCAAAGTGGCACAGCTGTGTCCGTTGAAAGGTCCTCTACCTGGCTCACACTGCAGCATGTCATCAAGGGCATGTGCCAGAGCATACACAGCCTTGTAAACATTGTACTCAGGCCTGAGGTTAGAAAGGTCCAAAAACTCAGTCTCCACATTTTCAATATCTTCTTGTCCAGTGCATAGTGCTCCCCCATCTTCCACCCATCCTGCTGGATCAAATTTACATTGAAATGTGTATTCCCAAAATTGTCTCACCTGAAATATATTAAAAAGTCTGTATTAACAGATATTACAATATATTACTATTGCAATTTTAGAGTGTAAAAAGTGCAATTTTAAAGTGTAAAATTGAACTCTTACCATGTTTTTCCCATTGTTGTTGTTGCCATTTTGGTCAGGACATATTTGTAAGAGGAATTTCCTGAGCCCTGGTATTTCTCCTCGACGGATGGCAATGCCCAGTGTGCCGTTTAGGTATGGCATTAGGCGAGGTGTCTGGAGCACAGTAGCCGTTGTCAAGGATTCACTTGTAATCCACTGTCGGCCTTTCACATCTTGTCTTACCACCTGTGCATTGCATTATTTAACACGTTTCAGACTTCTGTTGAAAAAATACATTGTACTCGTCTACAACAATTCCTCTGCCTTTTTATTTACTCCCATAAGCATAGATGTAAGAACATTATAAATGAAAATGTGCTTTATTAACCACAGGGTCTGCATACTGGACATCTATGTTAAAAAAGGAGTACTTGCCATCAATTCAGTTAAATAACACTACTAGCACTACGTTTTTTTCTTGTATAAAGGGTGGTTTGGGCTTTCTCAAAAAGCATTCCAACAAGCTTCAGATTGTTGTGAAATTCCCTTTATAATCTAACCAATTTTATCCAAATATTGGAATCATTTTAATATTCCCTTAATTGTTTGGAAATGGTCCTTTCATGCATTTACAGTGATGCAAACCCTCAATTGTATTCATACAACAAATTTCAAGCAGTGTTATTGTCAAGCTGACTCTCTGACAAGTTGAAATATTTCACGTATGTACAGTTCACATTATCAAACATTTTTACACAATTTGACCTGAAGATGTCTAGAAGTCTAACTAGAACTGAAATTTGCTATTATAAATATTTTTTGTAACTGATAGTAACTGACATGATTTTGGAAAGTGATTTCCAGTTTGGACAAACAAATGAACACATCCTGTTACAATTCTTAAAATGATGGATTTCTTATTATATTGTATTTTAATTCCAACCTCTTCCATTAGTTGAATCATGTGGATCTTGTGTGCAAACACCATGACCACACAAGCTGTTGATGTCTTGATCAAATGCACAATCCTTTTGACTTCATTTGGGTCACTGTCCCAGGGCAAAACCTCTAAGTAGGCAAGACAACCTCCACCAGACTGAGCCAGGTCAGACTGGAAGGATTGGGCAACATGGTGTCCATAGTCATCATCACTGACAATAAGGCCTACCCAAGTCCAGCCAAAGCGTTTTAGAATCTGAATCATAGCACGCACCTAAATGGATATATTGGTGTAAAGTCATTAGAGCACAGACTAGTATTCTTTTAAAGTGACATATACAAATAACTTCTAATAATTATAACTTACATACATGTATTATTTATATACATTTCACAACAGAATCACAGTTAATTAAATACATTAAGAGTTAAGAAAAGGTTTGTTTCATAAAGGACATTTTTAATAACCTTCCTGTACTGCTGTTGAAACATATTTCTTAATTTTGTGTGTCACCTGAAATGAATCACTTGGAATTGTTCTAAAGAAGGATGGAAACCGTTGCCGATCACTCAGGCAAGAACAAGTGGCAAAGTAACTCACCTGTAAAGAAACATTTTAATGCACACAAGTTACCCATCTCATACAAGTCAGAGCCAATGTATTACTTTTAACGATGAAAATATGTGGTACATTAAAAATACAACAATACAAGATACAGAAGAAAAGAAACTTACAATGGGCATTTTGTATAAACCCAGTACATTGGAGGTGGCGATAGAAAATGTTGAGTAGTGATCTCCCACAATCGCAAGGACTGGTGGGGTTCCTAAACAGTTTTGCTGAAGCAGAAACTGCTCTTCCCGACCACTTGCCAATGATAATGCACCACTGAATCCAATAACAAGTGCACCACAGTTATCATAAAGACTGTATCCCAGAGTCACATTAGGTAGCAGATTGGAGTTCTTGTTGATCTCGTCAATAGCAAAAGCCATGGTCATGGCATGCCTGAACCCTGGAGGGTCAAAACTAAACACAACATATGACTATTAATCCCTAAAAAGGAATATGGCTCTGTGAGAACTGGTTAGATAAATACAAAAAAATGATTTTATTATTTTGACAGTAACACTTAAACTGCCATGTTTCATATGCATTATAGCACAGCCACATTTTCCTCCTTATATAAATACTCAGAGCATACAACATAATCTGATCCATGCTGAAACTTACCCTTTGCAGCTGGGCTGTTGTGGTTCTGAGGTAAATGTCCGCTCAGGAAAGACAGAGGTGTAGTGGACCTCAAACAGCCCACCTAGAACCACGTCACCAGGCTTGTGCATTTCATTAAGATAAAATTTTCTCCACAATTTACAAGATGTGGCAAGAGAGGCAGACGCAGAGCTTGAGTATAAAGTGAAACAAAAAAAGATATGGTATACACACAAGAGGAAATATGTGTCTAGAAATGCTCCCATAACTGCGGTCCTCCCCTCAGAACTGTTTCTATTCTTCAAACAAGGTTTCCTAATTTTATATGCAGGGCTATGTCATCCCTTTTGCATGCTCTCTGACATTAATTTTTGACAACACCCATGAGGGCACAGCCTATGGGGGCAGGACATAATACACATATTAATTTAATAATGTTTAAATAACATATACAACATAATGTAAAATGCATCAAATGCATTTTAGCAAACATAAGCCATGAAACATATTAAACATAATTTTTTATTATTTTTTTGTAAATGTAATCAACTGTATGCCATTGACTAGGAATTTATTGTTTTAGTCCTAATATCTAAGCTGAGCAAGATCTTTTAATTTATTTCTTTTTAAACTTTTATTTTTATTATCTTGGGATTACACATCCCATTACTTTTGTCAGTAAAACTTGATATATGTACCATATGTTTGTGTAGTAGATTGAAAATGCTTTTTTGTCATGCTTAAAGGCATGTATCATAATGTGAATGACTTACTTCACTGAAGAGGCTATATACCAAAATTGCCTTCTTCCAACAGAGACATCTTGTGTGGAACAGCTGAAATAAATGTGGAACTTAATCTTCTTTTCCTTCAAAAATCGAAGGGGGTGCATATTTGGAGTCCATAAGATAACTTCTTATGATTAAAATAGTTAAATTGAGTGGAAAAAGGTGGGCACTGTATAAGACAGCCTACAAATTACTTAACAGTTTATACTGGTACTTGTACATGTAGGTACAGCAGAAGAAAACCAAACTATGAGGAACAAGGGAGTACTAATTCGGAAGCAAGAAATAAATTCTACAGCAAGTATTTTACTGTGTACAAGGTACAGTGCTGATAAACAGAACTGATCGATTTTACAATAAATAATGACATCATGCTGTACCTATCAAGAATAATATATTATATATATATATATAACTTTTTAGTGGAAGTGCAATGAAAACAAATGCTTTTGGCCTTTTATCATGCCACAGGGTTTTATTATGCATATGTATTCAACTTCATTGCATGGTTTGGAAGAAAAATAAGTTGAGAAATGGCTCCTACTTTGGGTATTTTGTAAATTCTGCTCTAAGCAGGTATGTTCGTCCAGCACTGCAGCAGAGAAGGCTGGAGTAGAAAACAAACCTTTCTCAAGTGCACAGCTATAGAAAGCTTGCATTTTCTTGCAAGGATGAAAAACACATACACAATATAGTATATAATGCCGCATGTTCAAACCAAAGTTTATTTATTATTTATTACAATAATGTTGTCATGTTGAATATCTAGGGAGAATGTGACTTGCAACAGACAATGGTTTATGTCTACTGTCAATGAGCCATGATGCTTTAATGTCATTCCAAGCCAGTCTACACATTCATTCAATTCAAAACAGACCACCTATAGCTGCTGTAAGCATTTCTTTGAAATATTTTTCTGTTTACTGTTATGGCCAGTAACATATATTTTACTTTTATGTTTAAAAAATACAAATAGTTCTAAAGTAGTTCAAGTGAACTTTCATAATTAAGGCAACAGGAAAACATTTTTATATAATTTTATGCACTTTTGGAGTGTTTGTTATGAACCTGCATTTCCTCAGAACTCGGACTGGACTTATGTTTATCATCATGAAGCTCTGGTAGCTCTGAGTAACTGGAGGTACTTCCATCTGACAGAAACGGGTATACTTTATTTTTCAGATTATTTCCATATATACATGTCTCTTGCCTTCCTACATTGCCCGATTACTTTTATTAAAACATAGAATCAACTCTGTAAAGGCAGTTGTGATATGATTCATAGTAAAAAACTGGATTAGCACATGCAGGCAGCACGGATTGTTTGTGCTACAGAGAGAGTTGGAGGTGAGTATAAAGTGTTTTGTAGTGAAAAAGTAGCTGCCTGCTCTGCCAGCTGCCTGCTCTCATTGGCTGGATGTGGATGCTGAGTTGGCAGTGTGAACTAGGATTTAAGCCACAATTTTAAGTCCGATTTGCAAAGTTTGTCTAGTTATGAGACCTTAATTAATATAACACCAACCTAGAACTGTCCCAAGTTGAAAAATCTATTTAATACTATTCTGTAAAAGTATTTATTTGCAGTGCTTGGACATAATATTATAAATAATATAAAATAAAATGTAATTGGACTTACCAAGTTTAAGTTTTAGAGGATTTTATTATATGCTTTAGTATTCTGCACTAAAAGTGAGTGTGGTTAAAAATGTAAACCTTCAAAGGTCTTCCCCATGGAGAGTGGTTCCCACAAAGGTTGTCCCATCCCATTATTGCTGTTTGCTTATGCAAATGAGCCACTTATAGAAGCAAGTTATGAATCTGGGGAGAAAAAGTAAAATGATATTTTGCTTAAATCCAAAACTCTAGACATGATATCGTAATGTAAGAGCAATCTAGGTAAGTCACGCTTCTTTGCTTATGCAATTGCGCAACCATTTAATTTTTCTCTAATTGTTTGTCTTATTTGGACATAAACATTTTCCTTAAAGGGGTAATATGTAGTTTTCAGTGGCCACTAGCAGTGCGGTTTTAAAATTGCAACCAGGTTTGTGCTTGTACGCGTGCTCGGCTCAAACTCATGAGAAAGCATAATCCGAAATACAACCACTTTCATTCAGAGATCCTGTAATAGATGCGGAAACACCGGCATGCTGCTGTGGCTTTTCACACAGACATGTTCAGGCTCTTTTACTTAAACATTCTTGGCACAGAGGCAGGAAAAATCAAACCCCTTTTTGGCTTTGTAAAGTTATCTTTCAGCCAGCCAGCCAGCGGACATATTTTCACAATCTTCCCAGAAAATAAAGCAGTGTAAAAACAGCTATATACAGACACACCGGGAGACAGCTTCACACAACATGCTGGAAATTCAAGTAAACTCCCACTGCAACGTTACAATAATATTTTTATCAGCTTGAGGTTGAACTAATCTATGCTTGTTACATGATCATGGCACATTTAATGCATTTAGCCGACGTGAAACATTGGCGTTAGCTCGCCTGTCTGCTTTTCAGTAACTAACATTCATACTATTTGTGTATCTGTCACTGGAGGCTCAGCAATGTGAGCACAGCTAAATGTATTGGATGGTAACGTAAAGGTTAGTGAGCTAGACTGAATATTATAATGAGATTGATACCACACTTTATAACTGTTAAACCTCAATAAGTAACGTTACATTAGTAAATAACTTTAGTTCTTCCACTGTGTTGTTTTCCTGTGCGTTATGTTGCATCATTGTATATTATGTGGGTCACATACGTAAGACTGAGATGGTAGAGAAGCTCTAAATTGAACGTTAGGAAGCAAACAGTGTTGGATCAGTGCTAACCTAGCTGACTGCCCCTGCCCTGCATCACAATAGGCTAGCGTAAACAAATCGCTCCACATTTGCTTGTTACATAATTTCTTGCAGGCTAAAATCAACCCTTTGACATATTGTGGTACACAGGATAGTAATATGGGTTGCATTAGCTGGTGAAGAAATGTGGAAGTCACAAAGTTACAACTATGGTATTTTGAACTGGATAAAAAAAACTGGCTAGCGTGAGGCGGTGAGCTTGTTGTTACTGTGTTTTCATCCAACATAAACTGATTATCGTTTGGCCTGAGGGGGCTCCAGCACATAAACTTGATTGTTGTTTTCTATCCTTATGTGGAGTTTATGTTGGAGTTTCTGTTGGAGTCTGTGTTGTGCTGGGAGCTGGTTGTTTTATGGTGTTAGTGGACTGCATGTCGTTAGCTGCAGTGTTGTTGCTGTAGTTGGAGAGAGGCTTGGGAGCGTGCACAGGGCTACATCCTGACCCGGTGCCTTCACATTAATAGCAGAATAGTGGCTGTTCCAAGCAACAGATAAAACAGGCATGTTGTTCATTTCTAAAAGCTACAGTCCATTGACAAAAAGGAAGTAAAAAAGTGATTTAATAATAAGTAATTTCATTTCAAAACTACATATAACCCCTTTTATGTGTCAGACTGCTTCAAATATAAATATTTTCTTGAAAGCATAAGCTCGTTCTGATGTTTTTTTTGTTGCTTTGGGGAAGGCAGTTATTTCAAAATTGAAATAGTTCTTCTTGGAACCACTTTGATCTACAAGAATTACATAAAAGTGGTTTCATTATGGCCTGAGCATGAAAGGTGCAAACTGAAGGAATTCTTGTTCTTTCTTTCTTTCTTTCTTTCTTTCTTCTGCCAATAAATTGCATTTTTTACAGCCTAAACATGCTCGAACACTCATGAAATGTTGCACACATGTCAGACGAAGTGAACTTTTACATATTATATGCGTCTCAAGCATGGACCCCACTGCAAGTTTCACCGAGGCATATGTAGATGTGACAGATACTGTATCTCATGTCCAGACGTACAACCTCGCGATGCCCTCAAGCAGCATTGGACGGACCCTTGTAGCTCAGCTGACATGGCTCTGAATTGTCTATTACTTTGGACGCTGCACAAAGGCCTTAAATGTCACTTCCTGTGTCCCCCATGTGGTTCGAGAGAAAATCCACTATTTTATTATGGGCCAGTACATGAAGTGTGTAACACCATTTTTTAAATTTAAATCACGTCATGATTGTCACAGAGTGCTTACTTCCCATTGGCAGTAGGTAGTGCTATGAATATAACTGAATATTGGCATGAACATGTATTCAGGGAGGGATTGTTATCAAGTGTGTAAAGTTTGGTACAGATTTGAGCATGTACAGGGAAGTTACAACAACTTCATGTTTCATGGTGAACCATGGAACTTCGCCACTACACCATGGACATTCCTTTAACGAAAACTTACAAGCATCAGAACATACCATCATTAATATCTTAAGGTGTGTCTGATAGAGATTTGAAGTGGATGTTGCCAGCCTTCTAGGGGTAGTTCATTACAGCAAAGTAGATGGTGTTAGGACTGTTATCAAACATGTAAAATTTGGTACACATGTGAGCTTGTACACAAATTACAACAACTTCCTGTTTCATGGCGAATCATAAATTGTTGATGTCACACCGCGGACACGCCCTTTGATGAAAACTCACCGGTTGTATAATTTTTCATCACTAATGCCCATAGTGACCACAGAGGGAATTTGAAAACTATTAATTCTGTTTGAGGAGTTTGTTAAAATACTGAGCATCTAAATCACCAAAAGTTACCATTATATCCAAAATGGCTGACTTTCTGTTGGGTTTAGGGCATCACTCCAAAAGGCTGTTTTGTATATTTGGACATGATACATCTGCCACAGAAATTTCAAATACCTAAGCTGAAGTTAAAAAGCGGACTACGTATTTATTAAATAAATCACCCCCAACCTTGACATCCTACCTAAGCGGACTTTTTGACTTGTTTATACTAGGCCTACTTGTCGCATTTAGCAATGACAGTAATAGTCTTGACCTAGCATCCATATGTGATAACTTGGGAGTGAGAATGTAAAAAATACATATGGTTCATTTTACTGTTAACTGCTGCTTTTATGACTTAGTGGTGCCTCGACCCATGATTGCTTTCTTTGTGTTCATCTCTGGTCTTAACAGGATTATGTAACATTTGGGTCCAAACAGTGCCACCAAGAGACCAAAACTGGAGGCCAGGATGGCAAATACCTCCACTGCATCTGCATATTTGCCTGGAGAGTTTACATAAGCTGGGACAAAGGCCACCCACACAGCACAGAAGATCAGCATACTGAAAGTGATGAGTTTGGCTTCATTGAAGTTGTCTGGAAGATTCCTTGCCAGAAATGCTAACAAGAAGCTAAGGATAGCCAGGAAGCCAATGTAACCCAATAACACTGCAAAACCAATTGTAGACCCTACAACACACTCATAAACTATCTTGTCATTGTGGTATTGAGTGTTTTTATGAGGAGCTGGTGAGGAAGAGACAAGCCAGGCAGTGCAGATCGCTGCCTGGATAGACACAAGAACAATAACTGTCCCTCTCTGCTGCACAGCACCAAACCACTTCAGACTTGCTCTACCTCCTGGCTTGGAGGCCTTGAACACAGCCAGAACCACCATGGTTTTCACCAGGATGCATGAGACACAAAGCACAAAGCTGATCCCAAATGCTGCATGTCTCAGCTGGCATGTCCACAGTCTGGGACGTCCGATAAACAGTAGTGAGCACAGGAAGCATAGTTTTAATGACCCCAAGAGCAGGAAACTCAGTTCTGAATTGTTGGCGCGTACCATGGGTGTGTTATGATTATAGGTATAGATACCCAGGACAACAACACTGATAAATGTGCCCAGCAATGAGGCAGTTGTTAAGCAAATACCCAGAGGCTCATGGTAGGAGAGGAATTCTGTTTTCTTAGGAACACAGTGGTCACGCTGGTGGCTGGACCAGAAATCCTCAGGACATGTGGTGCACTCCGTGGAGTCTGACAAAAAAGGGAAAATGGTGAGAAACATTCTTGTTGCACAGTATATAAAAAGTAAAATAAAAATACTGAGAAATGAACACCCACCAGTCTTATTGCTGATCTTTCCCTCAGAACAAGGGATGCAGTCAAAACAGCACACAGGTTCCCCTTTCTTTCTGGCCATGCGAGTACCTGGAGGACAGCTCTCGCTGCACACTGATCGCGGTGGCTATAGGGAGAAAAATAAATCTGTCAATTTATATTTTTATTATTAACTGCTAAGATTTAGAGTCACAAAAGGAGATGTTTCTAAAAATGCAGAAATAACCTTGTTCAATCCAAAGTTCCAGAAGATTTTGTCTCCATCAATTGTGAGTTCTTCAACTTTGAAGGCTGACCTCTTAACCACACCTACATTCTGAACTTTACTTCTTCCATCAGGGAGCCACAGCCAGTTCATGATATCATAGATTGGTAAGGCATCACCATTCTCATCAAATGACACTTGATCACCAATTGATGTGGTGAAGTTCACCTTTTGCAAATAATGTGCAAGCTAAAAATGGATGATAGACAAAAATAAATAGATTATGAGCGGGAAAGAATCTGTCAAACCAGAGGTTTATATCGCTAAATGACTTGCAAAATTTTTTTTTTAACATTTTTAACTTGTTAAGTTCAATGTACCACTGAAATTCAAGGTCTTTTCAGACAGTAAGCGAAACTCCGCCTGTGTACCCATTTATTTCTGTAGGGTCTCACTTCACTCCCCATGTAAATAGACTGGCTCCGCGAGTAAAATGACAGGAACTTTAAGTGTATTAACCATGGAAAGGCTTCTATGCACTACTGTATCCCTGCTGGTATAACTGTATTTTGTTTAACTGTATTTTCTTTAAAGTGAGCTTAAGTTAAAACTACACATAACATTACCTGATACATACAGTCTTGCCATGCAAAAGCCCTCCTGTTTATGTCCCAATAACTGAATACAGTTATTGACGGATATTTTAGGGGATTCACTAACAGCAAGGATCTGTCTCTCATCCAATGATTTGCACTGCATGTCACATAGAAAAAGGTTCATGACAATTCAACTCTGGCAGTGGGCAGGCATGTCTGAAAAGACAATTAAGCTGTTGTCTTGTCTAACTGGTTTATTGGTGGTGGTCAATCATCACCAAACCAAAATGGGATGTGTTTTATCCTGCTAAAAATTCTGATATGACATATGACTTTTGTAAGGATATAATGAAACCAATACCAAGCTTACCAACATCAAATTGAGTCTTTTTCATAATGTTATATAATCACAAAACTACATTCAGTAAGTACCTCAAGGTGTAGCACCGGTTTAAAAACAAAAACAGTTATGCTGTAAACTGATATCACACCTGCCATGGCTCCAGTCTTTGCAAAGTAGCACAGCTGTGACCGTCGAAAGGTCCTCTACCTGGCTCACACTGCAGCATGTCATCAAGGGCATGTGCCAGAGCATACACAGCCTTGTAAACATTGTACTCTGGCCTGAGGTTAGAAAGATCCAAAAACTCCGTCTCCACATTCTCTAGATCTTCCTTTCCAGTGCATAGTGCTCCCCCAGCTTCCACCCATCCTGCTGGAGGTGGTGCAAATCTACACTGAAATGTGGATTCCCAAAACTGCCTCACCTGAAATAAAGTATATGAAGTTTATATTGACAGAAATATAATCATTTATTACTATTATTATTATTTGTTTATTTTTTATTGTAAAATTAAACTGTTACCATGTCACTTCCATAGTCTTCATTGCCATTTTGGTCAGGATGTATTCGTAAAAGGAATTCCCTGAGCCCTGGAATTTCTCCTTGTCGGATGGCAATGCCCAGCGTGCCGCTCAGGTAGGGCATTAGGTGGGGTGTCTGGAGCACAGCAGCTGTTGCCCAAGCTTCGCTTGCAATCCACTGCTGGCCTGTCACATTTTGCCTCACAACCTGTACATTGAATTATACTGTATAACATATGTTTCAGACTTCTCTTGAAAAAATACATTTGGGCTTTGCATCAAATAGTAATTAATTATGAAACAATTACTATGTCTATGCACAGATGTAGGGTTTGTATATTGAAATCTTTTTTTAAAAAAAAGCAGATATTAAAAATAAGCACTACTGTGTTTTCCTATAAAATTGAATTGGTTTGGACAAACATAATAATTCATCATGTTACATTTGTTAATATCATGGATTTCTAAATGATATTAAATTTTTATTCAAACCTCCTCCATTAGATGAATAGTGTGGATCTCATGTGCAAACACCATGACCACACGAGCTGTTGATGTTTTTATCAAATGCACAATCCTCTTGATTTCATTTGGGTCACTGTCCCAGGGCAAAACCTCTAAGTAGGCCAAACAACCTACGCCAGACTGAGCCAGGTCAGATTTAAAGGACTGAGCAACATGGTGTCCATAGTCATCATCAGTGACCAGAAGGCCTACCCAATTCCAGCCAAAGTATTTTAGAATCTGAATCACAGCACGTACCTAAATAGATATATTTGTGTGAAGGGATTAGTGGACAGACAAGTACATTCTTTTAAAATTATATGTACTAATAACTTCAATTATTGCATCTTATATAAATTAAATTATTTACATATGTACACAAAGGAATCAAAGTTTATTTATCCCATTAAGAAAAAAGAAGAGGTTTGTTTCACCAGGGACAATTTCTACAGGATTTTTGTACTGCCTGAAACAGATGTATTTTTTCAGCTGTCAACTTGGAAATATGATTCACCTGGAAGGCATCACTTGGGATTGTTCTAAAGAAGGATGGAAACCGTTGCCGATCACTCAGGCAGGAACACGTGGCAAAATAACTCACCTACATAGAAACATACAGTTTAAATTTAAGTTACCCATCTCACGTATGTCAGACCCAGTAAAAACAGTTTAATATTTCACAATGTATCACTTTTAAAGATTACATAAATTTATATACAGTATATAAAAAACAACATTACACCAAATAGAGGATAGGAAACTTACAATGGGCATTTTGTATAAACCCAATACATTGGAGGTGGCAATAGAAAATGTAGAGTAGGAATCACCCACAATCCCTAGGACTGGTGGGGTCCCTAAACAGTTCTGCTGAAGAAGAAACTGCTCCTCCCGACCACTTGCCAGAGATAATGCGCCACTGAATCCAATAACAAGTGCACCACAGTTATCATAAAGACTGTATCCCAGAGTCACATTAGGTAGCAGATTGGAGTTGTTGTTGATCTCATCTATAGCAAAGGCCATTGTCATGGTATCTCTGAATCCTAGAGTGTCAAAGCTAACACACAAAACATCACTATTAACCACTAAAAAGGAATATGGCACAATGAGAACCGAGCTATACAAAAAATCTACCTAAACCTATGTTGTTTACAGGTTTAACAATTTTCAATAACCTTTCTAAGCAGTGTTATACTATTTTAAATGTATCACTAAAACCTTCATGAAAAGCTACATTACTCATTTTTCATAAGCACAACAGTGACATATTCTTCCTTACCATGAATACTCTGAGCATCCAACATAATTTGAACTGATCCATGCTGACACTTACCCTGTGCAGCTGGGCTGTTGTGGCTCTGCGGTAAATGTTCGCTCAGTGAAGACAGAGGTGTAGTGGACCTCAAACAGCCCACCCAGAACCACGTCGCCAGGTTTGTGCATTTCATTAAGATGAAACTTTCGCCATAATTTACAAGATGAGTGAAGAGAGGAAGATGCAGAGCATAAAGAGGTAGAAGCGAAAAACAAGATATTGTACACACACCAGAGAAAATATGCGTTAAGAAAAGCTCCCATAACTACCCTCCTTTCGTCACAACTGTTTCAATTCTTTAAACAAGTGTACTTAAAGACAGCTAGATTTTCAAAGCATCTAAGTGAAAAAATCCCACACCCTCCCTTTAATCCACCCTCCAAAGCCACTCCCCTAAAACACACTTTGGTTGCACAGGCAGAGTGCATGCAGGTAGGTAGGTATACATGCAGGTAGGCATTGCTTATTGCAGTCCTGCAATAGCCACAAAGACCTGATTATGTTTTCTTTTCATCACGGGATGACGGCACTCAGCTCTATGGCTTCCACAGTAATGCTGATGCTCGACACCACCGAACTAGCCTCAAGATTGCGGCCTGTGACAGCTTGAAGGAGGGTAACAGAGTAAGGGATGCCTGCACATGTGAAATATGCTTGAAATGGGTTAAAGCCCAGTTAATTTATTAAAGGAGAAAATACTAGGGAAGTAATTCAAACCAGCTTCAAACTAGAAACAGCTGGGTTAGAGATCTTCCACCTAAGGCAGTTTCAAGCATCTGGTCCAGACCAAATGAGTGCATAAAAGTTTTAAGACAGTGGCACATATGTTTGGTCTACAGAGGAACCTTTCTCAATCTTGAAATTAAGATTCACGTGGGAATGGGAACAGAGGCAGAAGAAAACAATTCTACAGATACTCACTGTAACCTAAATACTGGCATGGCCTTGTGGACAGTATAATAGCAAAGAATGTTATAGAGTATAAGTACACAAAGGTAGATACAGATGATTAGGAGCATGCATTTAAGTCTTAAATCCACAATTTAAGACGCAATGTTTTAGCTGCTTTTCAGGTGGTAATGTAAAATCAACCTGGATAAGTCAGTGCTTCTTGGCTTATGCAATGGTGCATCCGGTCAAGTTTTCTCTAATTGTTTGTCTTATTTGGATATATAAACAATTTCCTTAATGCATCGGACTTGTTTAAATCAAATATGAATATTTTCTTAAAAGCATAAGCTCGACTGCTGTTTATTGCTGTTAGCTGGTTGAGTCAGGTAGAAACTGAAGCAAAGTCTGTCAAAGTATCTCAAGTGTTCAGGCAAATATGGAAAATAATAAATACACTTATGTTATCAAATTACATTATTGCTTACAGTTTCTTCTAAATTAAGTCTTACGGATGTAGAGATGGGGACTCGAGTTTTAGACTCGGACTAGCACACACAGTGACTTGACTTGAGACTTGTCCTCAAAAGACTTCAGACTTGACTCGGACTCAAGGTTCGGGACTCGTGAACAATGTTTATTTTTTAGGAAATGTCTGAAGAGCTTGCTGTTAATCCCCTTCTTGCGTTACCTATAACCTACCTACGTAACACATACTACGTATCTGCTACGCAGGGCCACACTTGAGGACAAGCAACACCGGCAGCTTCTGTGCCATTCATCATAAAGTTTGGCTTCATAAAGTTGTGGTAGTGGTGCAGTGGATAAGACTCATGGCTTTGGTGTGAGAGATCCGGCTTCAATTCCCACATAGACATGTCCACCGATGTGTCCCTGAGCAAGACACTTAACCCCTAGTTGCTCCAGAGGAGTGCGACCTCTGACATAAATAGCAATTGCAAGTCACTTTTGACAAAAGCGTCAACTAAATGAATAAATGTAAATACAACAAGACCCAAACAAAAGAAGTGCTGAATGCAAAATAGGTTAGTAATCTGAGGTTAGTCAATATGTTTAGCTCAGCATTGGCCATCTAACGTTAGCTTGCTTCTTGCTTTAGCTACGACCTATGAGAGGTGACTATTGATTGTTATGAACAGTAATTAACTTTGCACCTCTAAAACAAGAGACAGGTGCGTCAGAGGGGAACAAAAAAGTCAAACGTAGCAAAGGAAAACTCCCGCACACTGTCTAACTTGCAAAGAATATAATGACACAATGTTTCGGTACTAGACCTTCTTCAGCTGATTGTTATGTAAAGATGAATGAGCGTTTGTTTGCTTACCATACTTGTGGTGGTCGTAATCATTTATGTCCCGCTGGCTGCCATCACGTTAATTATTAACGTTGGCTTCTAACAGGTTACAGGTTAATTGTTGATCATGTAACTTAACAGTTTTATTTAAAGTTACACTGGGTTTGAGATTCTGGGGGTGTATTTACTTACAGTAGTTACATTTTTTCTCGATTGCTTGAAGTGATGCCTCTTTTTCTCGAAACTCTAAACACAAATTTAGAGGCGGCTGTGGTTCAGGAGGTAGAGCAGGTTGGCCGTTAATCAGAAGGTTGGCGGTTCAATCCTGACTCCCCCAGGCTGCATATCGAAGTGTCCTTGTGCAAGATACTGAACCTCGGCTGTTCTGCCAGTGTATGAATGTGTGTGAATGTTAGTTTCTGTTTGAGCACTTAGGCTCAGTGTGTGAATGGTGAATGCAGATGGAGTGTAAAAGCGCTTTGAGTTGTCAAAAAGACTAGAAAGGTGCTATACAAGTACGGAGCATTTACAAATCCACAACTACCCAATTCCCCAAATGTCCTATATTCAGGTCAAAATGAAGCTTTCCACTCAAAACCATTCAATCTCGCTAAAAAACCAAACATTGCCTTCAGACATAACACACACGCCCTCAAAAACACACACTACAACACAGTCTTACACACTGGTGAGATAAATTCAAAACAATACTACAAAACTGGTTATTAGTAATGTTGCTTGTGATTCTCCCCCTCAAAAACCAAAAGAATAACAAATATAAACAACTGTTCATCTCCCTACTCCCTACAACTGTTCATCTCCCTCCTCTTCCTCCACCTTCTTCTCCACCTCCTCCTCCTCCCACCTCGTCCGCCCTCCTCCTGTTCTGACTCCTCCTACTCCTCATCTTACTCCTATCCTATCTCCTCCCCCAACTCCTACTGTTCCTCTTACTTCACCTCTTACTCCTCTCCATACTGCTCATCCTCCTCCTTCTCCTCTCTGTTGTCCTCTGTGTCTTCCTTCAGATTTCTCTGGATCTATTGTTCCAAAACTGAATGAACTGACTCTGGCCCTTTTATCTATCTGCTGAAGGTTCTGATTGGTGTGTTACCAATTTTGACTATCTGTGTTTCCACCTGGATGGTTGTGTTCTAATTGAGATCACCCTATGCTTACTTAAGTGAACAATATTGAATGTTCGTGTTTTCTCAATGACCGCATGGTGTAGGGAATAGGAAATGAATGGTTATGGTTTTGAAATTTTAGTTCAATAGCCTGGTTATAGTGATGAGAAAAACTGTAATAAGCTGTCATTAATTGCATTGCACATTACATGGTTTTGCTCTGTAAGTGAAAAACAGGTTACAATTACAGAGTTCCTTATAGCTATGCAGTTTTATAAGCAGCCTGGTTTGAACGCAGCAGTTGATACAACATTCATTATAACCACAAGTGAAATGAGACTTGACTTGGACTCTTGCTCAGAGACTTGAGACTTGACTTGGACTTTAGCTCAAAGACTTGTGAGCATGTTCTGAAGTGCAAAAGCAGGTTAGGTATTTATTATATTACATTACATTTCAAAGGCAGATTCTCCTCTTAATGAAGGCAAAATCAACATGTTCTCACTCCCAACTCATCACACAACAACATTTGGTCCAGACTCCTTGGCGTTACTTTTTAACGTGACAGAAGCAGTGTCAAGTTACACAGAGCAGATCACACCTGGCAGGAAGTTGGACATAGAAATGGCATAGAGAAACCTGTCAATTTTATAAATAAAACAGTCTGTGCAAACTCACAAACATACATCAACAATAAACACAATTAAAACGGACAAAAAAAGAAACCATTTAACTAACCTTCTTTCTTAATGTTAGAAATAAAATAAAAAAATGACCAAGTCAACAAAATCTAGTCAGGTCAACAAAACCAGACAGGCAAAATGCTCCGCTTCTGGAACACTCCCTGTGTGGTATGAAGCAGTGCAGAGGACAGAATGAAAAAACTGGTCGCATGATCAGTTTGATCAAACCAACCAAACCTCAACCTCCTCCCTAAGCAGATATTTTGACTTAATTATACTACGCCTACTTGTTGCGTTGAACAATGACCATAATAATCTTGAGCTAGCATCCATATGTGATAACTTGGGAGTGAGAATGTGCAAAATACAAATGGATTACACAAGTTGATCAGTTTATTGTTACTGCTGCTTTTATGACTTAGTGGTTCCTCGAGACATGATTGCTTTCTTTGTGTTCCTCTCTGGTCTCAGCAGGATTATGTAACATTTGGGTCCAAACAATGCCACCAAGAGACCAAAACTGGAGGCCAGGATGGCAAATACCTCCACTGCATCAGCATATTTGCCCGGAGAGTTTACATAAGCTGGGACAAAGGCCACCCACACCGCACAGAAGATCAGCATACTGAAAGTGATGAGTTTGGCTTCATTGAAGTTGTCTGGAAGATTCCTTGCCAGAAATGCTAACAGGAAGCTAAGGATAGCCAGTAAGCCAATGTAACCCAATAACACTGCAAAACCAATTGTAGACCCTACAACACACTCATAAACTATCTTGTCATTGTGGTATTGAGTGTTTTTATGAGGAGCTGGTGAGGAAGATACAAGCCAGGCAGTGCAGATCGCTGCCTGGATAGATATAAGAACCATAACTATGCCTCTCTGCTGCATAGCACCAAACCACTTCAGACTTGCTCCACCTCCTGGCTTGGAGGCCTTGAACACAGCCAGAACCACCATGGTTTTCACCAGGATGCATGAGACAGAAAGCACAAAGCTGATCCCAAATGCTGCGTGTCTCAGCTGGCATGTCCACAGCCTGGGACGTCCAATAAACAGCAGTGAGCAAAGGAAACATAGTTTAAGTGACACCAAGAGCAGGAAACTCAGTTCTGAATTGTTGGCTCGAACCATGGGTGTGTTACGATGATAGGTGAAGATACCCAGGACAACAAGACAGATAAATGTGCCCAGCAATGAGGCAGTTGTCAAGCAGACACCCAGAGGCTCATAGTAGGAGAGGAACTCTGTTTTCTTAGGAACACAGTGATCCTGCTGGGGGCTGGGCCAGAAGTCCTCAGGACAAGTGGTGCATTCCGTGGAGTCTGACAAAAAGGGAAGATGGTGAGATTTATTCTTACTATACAGTATATAATATCCATTAAGAGAAAAATAAGTACTGAAACATGAACACCCACCAGTCATATTGCTGATCTTTCCCTCAGAACAAGGGATGCAGTCAAAACAGCACACAGGTTCCCCTTTCTTTCTGGCCATGCGAGTACCTGGAGGACAGCTCTCACTGCACACTGACCGCGGTGGCTATAGGGAGAAAATAAATCTGTCATTGTATATTACTATAAACTATAAAAATTCAGAAAAAGGAGAAGTGGTTAAAAAAGTAAAAATAACCTTATTCGATTCAAAGTTCCAGAAGATTTTGTCTTCATCAATTGTGAGTTCTTCAACTTTGAAGGCCGACCTCTTAACCACACCCACTTTCTGAACTTTAGTTCTTCCATCAGGGAGCCACTGCCAGTTCATGATATCATAGACTGGTAAGGCATCACCATTCTCATCAAATGACACTTGATCACCAATTGATGTGGTGAAGTTCACCTTTTGCAAATAATGTAAAAGCTACAATTGGATGATAGACAAAAATAAATTGATTACGAGAGGGAAAGACTCCGTCAAACCAGAGGCCTATATTGTTAAAGACTTGCAACAAAATGTAACATTTTTATCTTTCTAAGTTCTATGTACCGCTGAAATTCACAGTCTTTTCAGACAGTAAGCAACACTGTGTACCTGCTTATTTCTGTAGGGTCTCACTGTACTCCCCATGTAAATAGACAGGCAGACAAGTGCTCTAGGTGCTTTATGCATAGTAACCACGGCAATAGTGTCTACGCACTACTGCATCCCTGCGGGTGCAACTGTATATTCTTTATAATGCAGCTTAAATTCAAACTACACATAACATTACATGATATGTCCAGTCTTGCACCAATACTCTGCCATGGAAAAGCCCCCTGTTTATGTCCCAATAACTGTTAAGAAAATAGTTATATATTTCAGGGGACTCACAAACCTCAAGGATCTGTCTCTCATCTAATGATTTGCACTGCACGTCACATAAAAAAATCTATGCAGTGGGCGGGTGTGCTACTAAGCATGTCAAACATACCCCATCTCAAGACCATCAAGCTGCTGTTTAGTCTAACTGGTTTATTAGCAATGGTCAATCCTCACTTTTACAAAACAAAATGGGCATGTGTTTTATCCTGCTATTTTTAGTATGACATATTTGACTTTTGTAGAAAAAAGTTCAATACAATTCAACTCTGGCAGTGGGCAGGCATGTCTGAAAAGACCATTAAGCTGTTGTCTTGTCTAACTGGTTTATTGGTGGTGGTCAATCATCACCAAACCAAAATGGGATGTGTTTTATCCTGCTATTTCTGATATGACATTTGACTTTTGTAAGAAAATAATGAAATCAATACCAAGCTTACCAACATCAAAATGAATCTTTTTCATAATGATATATAATCACAAAACTACATTCAGTAAGTACCTCAAGGTGTAACACCGGTTTTAAAACAAAAACCATTAGAGTGTAAACTGATATCACACCTGCCATGGCTCCAGTCTTTGCAAAGTGGCACAGCTGTGCCCGCTGAAAGGTCCTCTACCTGGCTCACACTGCAGCATGTCATCAAGGGCATGTGCCAGAGCATACACAGCCTTGTAAACATTGTACTCAGGCCTGAGGTTAGAAAGATCAAAAAACTCAGTCTCCAAATTCTCTAGATCTTCCTGTCCAGTGCATAGTGCTCCCCCAGCTTCCACCCATCCTGCTGGAGGTGGTGCAAATATACACTGAAATGTGGATTCCCAAAACTGCCTCACCTGAAATACAGTATAATATTTACAGAAATATATTATTATTGTTGTTGTTGTTGTTGTTATCATTATTTATTTATTTATTTATTTTAGATCAGAGATCAAGATTAAACTGTTACCATGTCATTTCCAAAGTTATTGTTGTCATTTTGGTCAGGATGTATTCGTAAAAGGAATTCCCTGAGCCCTGGAATTTCTCCTTGTCGGATGGCAATGCCCAGCGTGCCACTCAGATATGGCATAAGGCGTGGTGTCTGGAGCACAGCAGCTGCTGTCCAAGCTTCGCTTGCAATCCACTGCCGGCCTATGACATTCTGCCTCACAACCTGTACATTGAATTATACTGCATAACACACCTTTCAGACTTCTGTCATAAAAAAGTGCAAGACGCCCAATTTAACATATATGTTAAATTAAATTAAATTATATATATATAGATATATTGAAATCTATTTTTAAAAAGGAGCAGATACTAAAAATAAGCACTGCTGTGTTTGTAATGTAACATGTGTGGTTTGGTTTCAATCAAAATGTATAACTGAAATTTACAGCTGGCCTTAGTTTTCTCCAGAGCTTCCATTTATAATCTAACCAATTTGATTTAATTATTTGAATATTTTGGTATCCTTCTATTCAGATGGAAAGTCATCACCCAGCTAAATCTTCTACATGTTGCAATTATTTGACATGAAGACGATCCAACTGGAACTGAAATTTCTGTTGTAAATCATTCGTTTGATCTATTGATTGATTAAAATGACAACTGACACGATTTTGGTTAAGGAATTTAGGTTTGAACAAACAAATAAACAAACAGAATAACTCGTCATGTTAAGTTTCTCAATGTCACAGATTTCTAAATAATATAAAATTTTAATTCCAACCTCATCCATTAGTTGAATCAAGTGAATCTTTTGTGCAAACACCATGACCACACGAGCAGCTGATGTCTTTATCAAATGCACAATCCTCTTGAGTTCATTTGGGTCACTGTCCCAGGGCAAAACCTCTAAGTAGGCCAGACAACCTCCACCAGACTGAGCCAGGTCAGATTGAAAGGATTGGGCAACATGGTGTCCATAGTCATCGTCACTGATCAGAAGGCCTACCCAAGTCCAGCCAAAGTGTTTTAGAATCTGAATCATAGCACGGACCTATGTGGATAATTTGGTGTGAAAGGATTAGTGCACAGACAATTATATTCTTTAATAATTACATGTACACCTAGTTATATTATTTACATAACGAATCACAGTTAATTAATCTTATTAAGAAAAAGGAAAAGGTTGTTATAACAATGGACGATTTAGACAAGATTTTCATACTGCCTGAAACAGATGTATTTTGCAGTTGTCAACTTGGAAATACGATTCACCTGGAAAGCATCACTTGGGATTGTTCTAAAGAAGGATGGAAACTGTTGCCGATCACTCAGGCAGGAACACGTGGCAAAATAACTCACCTACAGAGAAACATACAGTTTAAATTCAAGTTAACCATCTCATTCATGTCAGACCCAGTAAAAATAGTTTCATATTTCAACAATGTATCACTTTTAAAGATGGCATTAATTCACATACAGTATATAAAAATACAACAAAACAAAAGATAGAGGATAGGAAACTTACAATGGGCATTTTGTATAAACCTAGTACACTCGAGGTGGCAATAGAAAATGTCGAGTAGGAATCACCCACAATCCCTAGGACTGGTGGGGTCCCTAAACAGTTCTGCTGAAGAAGAAACTGCTCCTCCCGACCACTTGCCAGAGATAACGCGCCACTGAATCCAATAACAAGTGCACCACAGTTATCATAAAGACTGTATCCCAGAGTCACATTAGGTAGCAGATTGGAGTTGTTGTTGATCTCATCTATAGCAAAGGCCATTGTCATGGTATCTCTGAATCCTAGAGTGTCAAAGCTAACACACAAACATCACTATTAACCACTAAAAAGGAATATGGCTCTGTGAGAACTGGGTAGTTATGAAATAACAACAAAAAAAATTACAATTACAGTTGTAATAATATACTTTTCCCAGCAGTATGATATTTTAAAAGTATCATTAAAACCATGAAAAGATATATTACTCATTTTTCATAAAAACAGTGACATTTCCTTTCTTACCATGAATATACTGAGCATACAGCATAATCTACACTGATCCATGCTGAAACTTACCCTTTGCAGCTGGGCTGTTGTGGCTCTGAGGTAAATGTTCGCTCAGGGAAGACAGAGGTGTAGTGGACCTCAAACAGCCCACCTAGAACCACATCACCAGGTTTATGCATTTCATTAAGATGAAACTTTCTCCATAATTTACAAGATGAGGGAAGAGAGGAAGATGCAGAGCAGAAAGAGGAGGAAGAGTAAAACAACAACAAGGTATGATACACACACCAGGGGAAATATGTATTAAGAAAAGCTCCCATAACTACACTTCTCCCTTCACAAGTTTTTCTATTCTTCAAACAAGGTTACTTAAAGCTGAAGTATGTAACGATTGAGAAACTGACAAGAGACAGCTAGATTTTGAAAGTATCCAACTGAAAAAATCCTACCCCTGGCTTTAAGCCACCTCCCAAAGCCACTCCCCCAAAACACATTTTCACGTGCTCTGAGTGCACGGGCAGAGCATGTGCAGGCGTAGGTCAACATGCAGGTGAAATAAATAAATTACTTTCCCTAACATTAATTTTTTTTTACAGTTGTAAGGATATAGTGAGAAAGATGAAGTGACTCCTCTTAGTGCTCCTAATGGAATTTACAAGAGGAAGGTCCCGAAGTGCTTTACAAGAGTAAAAAAATATTTCAAAGAAAGACAAAGAAAGAAAAACAGTAAACAAACAACAATAAAACATAAGCAACAACAGACCTTAAAAACACACAAGATTACAAACACTTGAGCTGAGGCAAAGACTACAGTCTTCACCTTTTTAAAGGCGTCAACAGAGACCACAAAATACCACTTCACGGGTTTTTTAAGTGTGCTTTTTTTAGTGTAGTGAGTGCGACGAATGACCTGTAAGACCTGGTCAGAACACCTAAGTGACCTACTGTTGATATAAAGGTGTAGCAGGTCAATGATGTACAGAGGTGCCTGACCATGCAGGGATCTATAAGATGAGTCATCCTGCTGGACCTGGTCAACAGCCTTGCAGCAGCATTCTGGACCATTTGTAGATGGTCCAGGGATGACTTGCAGGTGAAAAGGAAATTGCATTAGTAGACTGACTTAAAAGCAAGAATCATCATCTCTAGCTGAAGTTGTGATACAACAGGCCTAAGTTTAGCAATGCTTCTTAATAGGGACAGGCACCTTTTTCCAGGAAAAAACACCTAAACACACCCAAAATGAAGCAGGAATAACTCCTCAACCATTTGGCCTAGATGCATATTGCATTCTGGTCTCCTTTGAAAGGTCAGAAGCTAAGGAATATAAATCCATTGTATACTGATATATTTATTTTACCATTACAGACTACATGGAGATGCAATAAAGAAAAAATATGATATTTTCATCCTTACCTGTTAAAAAAAAGCTATATTTTAATGCAATAAACCATCAAAACCATCATAAGGAAGCTTATAATGCAACTGAATATCCTCTAATACACCTAGAATGCAATTGTAAATGTAAATCTGATGAAAATAAACTAAAATACAACAGTTATCATACAACCTTTTTAAAAAAATATACCAGGCGAATGTCCATATTTTGGCAATATATACTGTTAAAATGTTGACTTTTATTGTATATGTATAACACCTTTTCTGTCCATACAACCAAGCCTGTAGATGGAGAACGGAACAACCCACAGTGATGGGGGCTTGAGCAGACCTTTCATTTGGTACTATGTCTATGTATCGCCAACGGGTCGGCCACAAAATGGCGAGAAACACTGTGTGTTCTCAAGCGGCACGTTTCCTCACTGCAGAAAAGACGAGAGCAGGCAGGCAGCTCCCAGGTATTGTGCAATAATCAAGACGGCGCCCGCTGAGACTCAACAAGCAACAAAATAGGTGGATTTTGGACTTAAAAGCGGGGGGAAAAAATTTCAGTGATTTCGCCCACAGCCCGGCTGCCCCCGGTACCGTCTGTTTTCAACAGGCTAAATGGACTAAATAATGATTTGATATGATGGTCAAAGTACATAGTCTGATCAAATAACAACAAGATTTGACTGTAAAGCTGAAGAAAGGGACTCAATACACTGAGCAACCATGTAAACTATGCAATCTGAAGTAACAATAAGAACCCCAGTCTTGCATTGTGCTGTAAAATGTTGTCAGCCATCCAGTCCGTAACGGCAGTGAGACAATTGTGTCAGTTTTTCAGTGTGATCAGACTTAAAAGAAACATACAGCTGGATATCATCAGTGTAACAGTGATAAGAAATACATTTGCTAATAGTATGACCTATGGGAAGCATAAACAAAGGAAATCATATAGGGCCCAAGGCAGAACCCTGAGGCATACCAGGGGAGAGAGCAGAAGTGTAGGGCCTGTAGGGACCAGGCACAGTAAAACTCCAATCCAAGAGATAGGAGGAGCACCAGTCCAGGGTGCTCCCAGAGACAACCACCACTGCCTAAGCCCTTGAATCAGGATGCTGTGTTCTACAGTATTAATAGCTGCACTAAGATCCAGCAGCACCAAAACAGAGCATTCACCCACATCAGAGGACATCATGATGTCACTGGAGACCCTGCGAAGAGCTGACAAACCAGACTGGAATTTATCTAAAATGTTGTGTGCAGTCAAAATGGAAGTGAGCTGTTTGGCAACAACTTTGTCAAAATGTCTGAGATAAAATACAGCCTAGATATAGGCCTATAGTGTTTTGGGAAGGAATGGATCAAGGTTAGCTTTATTTCAGAAGAGGCTGCACAACCTCTTGCTTTTAACAAACTGGGACAAAACGGGATTTCAGGGAGCTATTGTGTAAAATGTTGCGTTTGGGTCCGTTCTGAAACCGTAACAGTAAAATGTGCAGGTAAATCTAAGCAGTCCAAAATTGATGGCCAAGTTGGATAAGAAGAAAAGGGAGTAGAAGAGGGGATGATGCTAGCCATGACATCTCTAATCTTGTCCACATAGAAAGAGAGAGTTACTGCAATCCTGATTTGAACACAGCAGGAGGTGCAGGAGTGGCAGTGATGTTTATGGCATCAAAAAGAACATTAGGGTTGTGTTTGCTGGAAGAAATTAGCATTTTCACATTTGTACTGGCAGCAGGTACTTATGCACAAAGTCGCCAGCTTGCTGGTCCCCCAAAACCATGGACGTGTTCCCGAGACAACTGCTCCAACCACTGGGGGCTCAACTTAGTTGAGAATTGGGCTGTAAACAGTATTTAAGTGATGCATTTTGATATTCAAATTCCAATAAGGGCGTTTTCCTCTGTTAATGTGGAGTGCTTTGTTGTAAATTGGTACCTTCCCTAGATGCCAGCAGGGGGGTGACATAGAAATTATTCCTTGAATGATTCCTTTGTTTGTGCTCCTTTTTTAAAGGTTCAGTGTGTAACATTTCTAAGGATCTATTGGCAGAAATGCAATAAAAAGATCCGTAACTATGTTTTCAGTGGTGTGTAAAGACCTTTCATAATAAACCATTATGTTTTGTTATGGCCTTGAGCCCAAACTTGGACTTTTTTGGTTTGAGTCTTAGTTTTACTTGTCTGGCTCAATCCAAGACTTTCTTCAGGTTATGTCATGTTCCTCTGCCACCTTGCAACCAATGACGATGTCATCCACAATTATGGCGCATGGGTATCCCGCAAAGATTTGTTCCATGCCTCTTTGGAAAACCTCAGAGGCTGTGTGGATGCAAAAGGGCATCCTCAGGAACTTGAATCTGCTGAAAGTTGTAGTGAATGTTGTGCGGAGAGATGAGACATCATCCAGTTTGATTTGCCAGAAAGAGCTTTTTGCATCGAGTACAGAGAATATAGTAGCGCCTGACATCTGTGCTGCCACCTCTGCGCATGTGATGGTGGGGGCGCAGGTTTTTTGGATCTATACAGTACATATGCGAACGTCGTCAGTCTCTTTTTAATGTGTGGCCACCATGTTGGAGACCCATTCTGTGGGTTCGTCCACAGGTTCAATAACTCCCAGAGCTTGCATTCTCTGGAGCTCTTGTTTCACTTTTTTCTGCATCGCTGCAGGGACACGCAAGTATGTTACAGGTAAATCACCAACTTCATTTCTGAATAAGTCTGCATATTCTTGAAATATTCTAGGTGACAGAGTTTGGTCCTGAACTGTATCTATGTGATACAATTCTCTGCTGAAGCACTCGGCAGGCGGTCCATGTTCTGAGCTGTGAGCGCAAGACTGGACTCAAGGAGGTAGACTCAGTGTTTTACATTGATGATGCTTGGTGCTCAAACGCAGTCAGGATGGACTCTGTTTCCCAAATGTCAGACTGTTTATTGTGAAGACAAAACTTTCATATTATCATCTGGTTGCTGCTGTTTACATTCACCCCAGATGCAAATTCAAAAAATGCACTGTGGAATGTATGGGGTGTGTACGTGTATGTATATATGTATATAAAAAACTGTATTGTTTTATATAAACTACCTTGCACCTTGAAGGTGACCAGCTTCCTCCTGCAGGCCTAGAATGGATTGTACGTTTTCTTTCACCACTTGGAATTGCAGGTTGCATGGCTGTTTACTTGGCCTGCAACATGAAATCACTGCCCCAATTGGTTTGATCTTAGCTCCCCCAAATGCTACGAATTTGACTTGCTTGAGTGGCTTATTCAGCTCTTTAGTGTGCCTAATGACTTTGTATGTGTCTAGGCAGATCACATTACACTTGGCCCTGTGTCCACTTTTACCTTCAGGTCTTTGTCATTAACAGTCACGGTGCAATCTCCTTCTTTTTTGTAGCTTTCTTCAGTTTCCGCACGGTTTATGTCTTGATCACCATGTAACGACAGGCCCTCAATAGTGAATGTGTCATCACGATCAGACTCTGTTTCTGCTAATTCACCTGCCTGTTTGATTTGCTCTGTTAATCGGCATTGCTGTTTATAGTGGTTGTGCTTTCTGCAGTTGTGACATTGTTGTCCAAAAGCCGGGCACTGTTCCCGTTTAGCTGGGTGGGTGCCTCCACAATTTCTGCAGCCTGATACTGTTGTTGGTGGCTTTTCATATTTCGTTGTGTATTTTATTTTTCCCTTTAACTTGCTGCTGCATTTCACCTGTACTGTGTCTACACTGGCAGTTGTCACATGTTTTGGTGTAGAGAGGGCTTTACTGTTTTCTGTGAGTTCACTTATTTGGCAGATGCGAACAGCTTTAGCGAGTGTGAGGTCAGTTTCTTTGAGCAG